AGTAGTACGAGCCTCCTCTTCAGCAAATGTTGGAGGTTCTTCTTCCATCTCCTCATAACTGTCAACAGATTTTGGATCTGGAATAGTGTCCAGGACAGGAGGAGCCTCAGCTCCTCCATCATCAGCTTTGGTCTTCTTGAACTTGTTGCAGCAAAACTATTGTTTTATCAATTCATTGGTGCGGGGTGTCCGTCCAGATGTGTTCATCTTGATAGAGAAATCCATCCGTAGTGCGTAGCTATTGTAGTGATCCGTAGCAATTTGAAGGCTGTCAAACCTCATGCCAACATAGGGTTCCATAGGTTGAGAACCAGCCTCATCCTCTCCTTCTTCTTGCACAGCTCCGTCAACAGCCCCAGCTCCTAGCTCAGTCCTGGTTGGACCAGGAATATTTGCCTCGGTTCCCGTGTCATCTAGAGTATGGCTCTCTGACTGCAAAGACACCACTACAGGGGCACCGCGGATTGATGGCTGGCCAGCCACATTGTCATGGCCCATAGGGTTTCCACCACGACTTGCCTACGTGTAGTAAATAGATCGCCCATTTTCTGTCCAATTTCCTTGTGGTATGTTGGGTAGCTGCTGATCCATATCATGAGGAAGCTCATTAAGATCAGGAGGCAACTCATTGAGATCAAGCATTTTTTTCCTTTTTTTGGATGCTGCCACACACTCACTACACATATAAAAAAGAAGAAAGTGATGTCATCAGTTGTTAATCATAGAAAAGAGTGTTTCAAACAACCTAAAAACTTAGTAAATAGATAGTTGCACACCATTTTATGACAATCTTAGTCCCGAAAGCAACATATCTATAGCAGAATCTTTTATTATAACATGCATGCATTTTTTTGTTTTTGCACAGAGTTTTTATGTTAGTTGCACAGTTTGCAGTAAATAGTTGGTAAGAACTTGACTTCTTTTTACTACAGAGTTTTCTGACTTTTTTTCCTCTGCTTTTGTTGCAATGATCCACAGGGTTTCCGTTGGCAAGGAGCTTATTCAGATTTTTCTGCACATAATTGGGACACAATTTGATGCTACTTTTGCAGATGCAAAATCCAGGTGAAAGAAGAAAGAAGAATTTGATGACGGTCTATAGATATATGTTTTTCGTCGCCATTTCTGTTTCTACTTCCAGTATATTTGAATATATTTTTACACTATAGCTTTGCAATAGGTGTGCTACCAGAATATATGTGTGGGACAAGCATATATGCGTGACTACTTTAATGTGGTTTTATGGCTTCAATAACCTTGTTTATTTATCTGTTGCACATATTGATGCAGAAGTTGTCGTACTGCAGTTTTTTGGTTTTGGCTAGAATAGATCTTTGAGTTGGCCAGGATGCATATATCAGTTGGCCAGCATGCAAGTTTAGTTGGACAGTCAATGTGTTCAGTTTTGCTAGAATAGATGTTTCAATTTCCCAGGATGCATATATCAGTTGGACAGCATGCATGTTCAGTTGCACAGTCCATGTATTCAGTTGGATAGAATAGATGTTTCAATTTCCTAGGATGCATATATCAGTTGGCCAGCATGCATTTTCAGTTGCACAGCCAATGTGTTCAGTTGGCTAAAATAGATGTTTGAATTTTCATGGATCCATATATCATTTTCGCCAGGATGCATGTTCTGTTGCACAGCCAATGTATTTAGATCGCTAGAATAGACATTTTAGTTGGCCAGGATGCATATATCAGCTTGGCCAGGATGCATGTTCTGTTGCACAGTCAATGTGTTTAGCTGGCTAGAATAGACGTTTTAGTTGGCCAGGATGCATATATCAGTTGGCCAGCATGCATGTTCCGTTGCATAGTCAATGTGTTCAGCTGGCTAGAATAGACGTTTCAGTTGGCCATGATCCATATATCCAGTTGGCAAGCATGCATGTTCAGTTGGCTAGAATCATGTATTAGTTGGTCAGAAAATATGTCTTAGTTGACTTGTTGAACACATAAAAGGGGCAGGGGAAACTTGCTTGGCATGCATGTTTAGAAAAACACGTTCAGTTTCGATCTGGGAACCCTAAGTTAGTGTGCAGATGCACACATGGGGGGATGGGGGTGGGGCTGGTGTGATGTTCACAATAGGGTGATGTTTCAGATCTACTCTTTTTTTGAAGCGGATTCTCCATGGATTTGCTGATGGATCCATGGAGGAGGGTGTTTTATAGATGCAGTACAAGAAAGGGGAGAACTGAAGAGGGGTAGAGAGGAAGTACTTGCTTGATGTTTGTTGCCTGGTATGGGTCTGATCACCCTGCCTTTTAGATCAATTTGTTGAAGCAGATTCGTCTATCTTTCTGCTCCCATGGCGGCTATACAGGAGGAGGAGGAAGGAGCTTTGGATCCCTTTCTTTCATGCAGGTCAAAAAAGCAGCGTGGGATTGCCTGGGCGAGCGGGTGTGGGAGGGGTTGGGACGTGGGGGCGAGCGAGTTTGTGGACAGCTGGCCACGTGGGGGGATCGCTTTTTGTTCGGGATTGGGCGCTGGAATCGCTCGGTTTGGTGGCAGCTCGATCCTGCTTTTTCTGTACCGTACGAGGGACAGGAAGTTGCCTTTTATGGTCGGCCGTTCGATCGTGCTAGTGGGCAGCAGGCCGCCACTAGACGCGTCCGAAATTAATTACTAGAGTACAACAAATTTATGTCGGTCATGTCTTGAAGGCTGACATGATATCTATGTGTTGAGATACTAAGCTCATTTGATTTGAAGCCTCATGCTACATCGGGGAGGCTTGCTTAGAAGGGATGTGTCGCTCGTTGAGAGCAAAGCACATCTACTGCTTTCGTTTCTAAATACAAGTCTTTTTAGAGATTGGACTATAAAAATTACAGTCGGATGTATGCAGACACTTTTTAAGTATAGATTCACTCATTTTGTTCTATATATAGTCTATAATAAAATTTCTTAAAAACTTATATTTAGGAACGGAGAGAGTACATAGCTAAAATACGTTGGTCGGTTTTCCTAGTTTTGAGAAGGCTCTAGACGGTACTGTGCAGTTTATATTTTTTGTCGGTTTTAATAGTTTTTTCTTTTTCTTATTTTCCTTTTCAGTTTCTTTCTTCTTCTTTTTTCTACTGTAACTTTTTACATTTTTATTCATGAACATTTGAATAAAATGTGAACATTTCTAAAAGTTTATTAACATTGTTTAAAATTAAAATTTAAGATTTTTTAAAATTCATGATTGTTTTTGACAATTTGTGATTTTTTTAATTCATAATATTTTTTAAAATCCAAGAGAGATACATCCATTTACTAAATAATCACAAATACAATAAGTCTACCATTTGTATTAATTTAAAGGTTGCGTCCACACAAATCTTGCCTGCTAGACCATGTGCTAAATTATTCAGCTAATTCTAAGTAATACATCTGTTCAAGAATCCGTCCGATCAACAAGTTAACTTGCCGATTAATCCCTACTCATAGGGTCACCGTGTAAGCGATAAACTGTTAAATCATCTGATTAATTGATTAGTTAGCTGATTAACTGCCAGATTAACCTATTAATTTCCTGCTCGTCAGCCAACCGAGCATCTACCAGAACATTTTTATTTAGGCTACTACTTTTAATTTATTTATTTAGGTTATTATTTAATTTATTGTTAATTAAGATTATTATTTTTATCCAGGTTACTTTTAAATTAATGTTTTATTTAGGTTAATGTTCATTTGGGTTACATTACTTTTTTTTGCGGAAAGGTTATATTACTAATAAAACATAGGGCGGCCAGAATGTAAGATGAGGTTCTCGGAGTCTTTAGTAGGTACAGTTAGGTAGTGTTGTAAAAGATCATATAGTATTTTCATAGTATGAAATTGGAGGGGATGGCCCTCTTTCGCTAAAAGGAAGCACTTGTTGTCTAAATGCATAAGAAGAAAAAATGAGTGGTACTAATACTGATAGTGCCAGGTCATTCATCTTATCAGGATATCACATATCATTAGCATCAATAATGCATGCAAGCCAGCACTTTTCCCATACATATCATTTCCCTGTTCATTTCACGGCGACGTCCACGTCCACGTCCTCCGCTCCCCTCCGGCCCAGCTCCGCCACCCACGTGTCTGCGGCGCCGAGACAGACGAGGCCGCCCGGCCGTACGTCCCCGTCGGACGTCACCATGGGCCCACCCAATTGATAACGCCGTCAATCACGAGCTCTATAGCCAGCTGCATGCATGGGCGCATGGCAGGCTGGCTTCTAGTCCGAGATAGGCAGCGCATGCATAACACGTATGACCACAGGAGGGCATCTTCTCTGAACACGTACGATACGAGTAGCTTCGGAGAAGTACTAGCGTGCTTCTAGAACCTTCCAGAACACGAAGAAAAACAGGCTAATCAATTATTGGTGACGACGAGACCAACGCGGTGCAGAAAATTCAGGGGTACTGTGTCATCAAGACTAGACACAGAACGAAAACAAAAACGTACAAACACGAACGAGCGCAGGAAAATTCAGAGATCGATCACGGTAGATATCACTTTCAGGCGGACTAGTAAGTGGGCGACGTGCACCGGATTCAGATGACCACAAACACCATGGATTATCCCATCACTAAAAGTCCAAACAGTGAAAAAAAATATGTGATCACACAATGGATTAGCCCATCATCACCACAGGCACTTGTATATACATGATTGCAAGCCGCAATAGCACATCTGTCAACAGGCAATCGATTAGCTCAGCCGGCGAGGAGGGACCTTCCAGAACAACGGAAAAAAACTATGGTCAATCCACGTGGGGCGTCCAAGAAAATGTCATGAATTCTTTTTAAAACAAGTCGACAATATGAAACGAGAGGTCCGAACTTTGAAATTTGAATGTTCCAGATAACCACAAACGCTAGAATAACTCAAGAACAGAGATCGGAGAACCGATGGCTGCTGCGTTTGCGTCGACGGCGGCGGTGTTGAGGTCTGCTCGCCCGGGACGGGTGCCCATCGCTCGGCGGTGCGTGGTGGCGCGGGCGTCCGCGACGATGGCGGCACCGGCGGGGCTGGCGGCGGGAAGGACGCACTACGATGTGCTCGGCGTAAGCGCGGGGGCGAGCAGGGGCGAGATCAAGGCCGCTTACCGGCGCCTGGCGAGGGTGGTGCACCCGGACACCGGCGGCGGCGGCGGAGACGAGGGGTTCATCCGGCTGCACGCAGCCTACGCCACGCTCGCCGACCCCGATGAGCGCGCGCGGTACGACCGGGACGTGACCAGCCGCGCCGCGGGGATGATGATGCGGCGGGCGTCGGCGACGACCGGGCCGGCGTTCCGGCGGCGGACGTGGGAGACGGACCAGTGCTGGTAGGACGTACGGCCGGGCAAACGCGGCTGCCTTCTGTGGGCTCTGAAGCTCTTAGCCCCTGACCGGCGGCCCCCCGGTTTGCTCAGGCACGGCGCTGGAGAGAATGTTCTGCCGACTATTGTGCTCCGTAAGATCAGGATTGGACGGCTACAGCACGCGGGAGCTCTGTACACAGCATGACAGCAAGAGGCGTTTTTTAGAGATCTCTTGTGCTTTCGGTCAGAAAAATGCAAATGTGTAAATTAATTAATTAACTACTGTAAATTAACAGCCAAGGAATATATGGTAGTAGCTCTCTTTGTAATAGAAGAAACTAGTTAACTCTATGTCGGTCGTTTCTTCGAAAGTTGTCTCTTCTGTTCTACAGTTATAATCAATTAACAGGGTACAAAAGTGTAAAAAGAAAATTGGTCCATGTCAGTCACTTCTTCTTCTTCTTCTTGTTTATGACAAATGGATGCGAGAGACACCTTCGACTCCGAGATTGGATCTAGCATCGGGCTGTACTTTTCTGAATGCTGTTTTGTGAGTCCTGTCATCGTTTTATCTCTCTACAGAAATCTGTGACTAATAATATACTGAAATTTTAAGGAGGCTCCTAAAACTTCCGGAACAAGCTCCTATACGACCAGGTGTCACGGACTGGGCCTTGGCCGTGAGAAGAGGCAGTGTGGAGGCCATGTGGGTCCCATCTAGGTGGGTCCAAGTCCATAATGAACCTCCACACTAGAAAATATTTGTGTAATGATTCGCCATTGAAAATATCATTTTTCTGCAAAGGCAAAAACACTAGAAAACATGAACTCACATTTCGCATCGATGAATATGTTACTCTAATAAATATAATATAAGCCCTAACAAGAAAAGTATAATATAGAAGGTGCCAAAAATATGTATAAATGATGTACATATACCACGAGCATAACAAAAATTATAGACACATTTGAGATGTATCACTAGACAAAGTTACCCAACTCGAGCACTTGGAAGCTCACGCATCATTAATATCCAAATTAAATAAAAGTACATATGCCAAAAAAATACAAATCAGTTACTACTAGAAACTATTTATACTAATAAATATCATATTGTAATAATTTTTTATAATTAAATACATGGGCATGTTTACATTCTTAATTTTGCTACTTTTAGTTGAAAAAGTATTTAATATTGTATATCAAAACATTTTTTTCAATGAGAACATAGTTTAGCAAAACACAAGGGCGAGTAAGAAATTTTAGTATAAAGATTGGATGTCTGCCACGGAAATTGAGCTACGTTGGATATGCCCCGGTGATGTGCGCAAAATGAAACGAGATTTCCATATCCAACATCGAGACATGTGCGGGCGGAAATTTGAGTTACCATATACATGACTTAAGCTAATCCAGTTTTCATTTACATACCAAAGAAAATCTATTAAACAAATCTACGGCGTGCGGGAGTGACTCGAAGTGGTAGTGTCTGCTGCTACAACAAAGAATTTGTGACTTCCGTCAGAAAACTTAATTCATTTGTTCTGCATTTTATTTGTATCGGTCTTTTAATTTCTTTTTTCTTAGGTTTTCAAATATTCGTTTTGTTAGACTTTTGCCTAGCACATCGAGGCGATGGTTAAGGACATAAAAGATAACTCAAGAACAAACATATATGTTAAAATTCAAAGTCTAATTTTTGCTAGGTCATTGTTGCAAACAAATGTTATTCTTAAACATGTTTTTAATCGTCATGCCATAACTATGTCTATTAATTCTGGCCGCCACCTCAATCAATACCACTTTGTCCTTAACCCGTGTTGGTATTAACTACGCATATCACCAACCCTCAAGAGTTTAGACATGACAGAGCATTTGTAAGGGCATAAAAAATTCTATGTGAACTGATTCTCGTGTGACGATAAGCAACCGGCTACAAGTTTTGCATGATTTCTCCTGATACCATACTCTACTAGTAGCCGTTTAGACATACTATCTTAGATCATTTGGACGCAGAAGAAAACGGGTAATTGGGCATCACGATCAAAGGGCATAAAAATCAAGAGAGATGTACGTATTAGAATCTAGATGAAGATACGTGCAGAAATATCAGATATTGGATTGCACTGAAGTAGCCATTATTGACAATTTTATAGTATGTAGAAGAATAAGTAATTGTATATCCCCGCAAAAAAATAAGTAAATGTATATAACACAAAACCAGGCCTTCCATCGTGACAAGCACATCGCAGAAAAATCGGAGGTGATGGCCAATTATTACACAGCCTTCACTTTCAGACGGACCAGTTAGTGGGCGACAGGCACCGGGTTCAAAACTTCAGGTAACCACAAACAAAAAAACATTAAGTCCCTTGAAAGTCCAAATGACATCAGCATCGATCTATCACCGTCGCATGCAGAACAGGAGCTACCACGCCTCAGCCGGGACCTTGGACAAGAATGAAAAATCTATCGTCCAAGTGAGACATTAAAAAAAACTGGGATCAAATCCAGACTCAACAAAATTCAGGCACCAATCCAATAAGGGGTGAATGGAACGAATTTGCTTCAAATTGGTTGAAATGCTGAATTATTAAGTGAATGTCTATATCACATCTAGATGTGAGATAATATCTCACATCTAAGTTTTTGGAGTGCAGTTTTTTATAGCTCGGTCTACGTGGTACCCCCTATCGCAGCCATCTATTCTGGGCTCAGTTCCATGTGGATATGTGCATGGATGTAAAATTAGCAGCTGGCACCAGGCGCTAAATACTAATCTTCTGCCGCTAGGGGTAGTAGCGAACTGCATCCGATGTGCGTTCCATCTGTCCGTCTCCCGTCCCATCAGACTGAGACAACGAGTGTAGACCCATCACGTGTGAGCAACGTTCCATGTTTTTACCTTTGCATGCCACAAATTTATTTATTTATTGCATGCAGCGCATCTCTCTCTCCTCTCTCTGAACTTTACATGCATCTCTCTCTCATTTTCTTATCTCTTTTGGTAAAGTTTGCTCTCTAATATTTGCATCCATGCATGCAACACTCGTTTTTATTTCAGTTCTTCTCTTTTTCTTTATTTCAGTTCCTGATAGGTGACATTCATTTAAATATTCGCCAACAGTTAAAAGAAGGGCTAGCTGAGTGTGCAGACTAGCTGTTTGATGGCTGGACGTTTTAATAAATTGCGTCAGGTAGGGTCACATCAAATTGTCTGCCAGCAACATGTGCCAGGAGTCGGCTGTGCAGGCTTTGTCACTGTTCGCCTGACAGGACAACTCCTCCCTAATTAAACTTAAGCACACAGATGCACTGCAATTGATGCTCTGAGCTGCACGTATCACAATGCAGATGGACAGTGCAGATAGCAGGTACCCTGAAGCTCGTCCTACAGAAGAACTTTGCGAAGTTTTTGTCCAGCCGACCGCTTGTTTCTTTTATTTGTTTGTTCTTTCTTTCATCGGGCTGGCCGATTGGAGCGCTAATTTTTTTTACAAGTGACGCACTACCCCAATCGGAGCGCTACCAAAAAACTGTAATAACGCACTAACCAACACATGAATCGAACTGGAGACCTGGGAACAACGGCTTCTACCACTCCAAACATTAGATGCTGCCGATTTTAATGAAACGGGGAATGTTTAAGAACACAGTACAGCCAGGAGATTAGAAGACATTTTGGAAATTAATTGAAACCTTTTTCCAAATTACGAACAATTTTCAATTGTCGAATATTTTTTTTAACACAAACAATTTTAAAATTTCAAAAAGTATTTTTCAAATGTGAGTAAACTTTGTAATTCCGAACATTTTTTAAATAGGAACAAAACTTGGTATTCTGAACAATTTCTTCAAAAACATATTTTGAAAACGTGATTTTTTTTAAAAGAAACTTTACACATTTCAAAAAAATCATGGCATAATCTAGAATTTTTTTATGCAATGGAATAATGTTTGCATAATTATTTTTAAAAGTTTCATACCATTTAGGAAAAAATGATCAGTAGGAATTTGAGAAAAATGTTTACCATATATTAAAAAAATGCCAGGGCTTGTATTTGAAAAAAAAATATCCATCATGTATTTTTTGAAAATGTTCAATGTGTGTTTAAAATGTTTTCGTGTATACAAAAAAAATATACATAAAAAGTGGACATGTATTTGCAAAAAAATACAACTATATAGGGGTACTAGGTTATGAACAAGTTGCGTGTTGAGAGTGGACATGCAACTATGTCGGGCATGAGTTGTGTTTGGCTTGGACATGCAACTGGGTCGGGTGGGTTTACATGTTGGGGTTGGACATGGAACTAGATAGGGCCGGGCAAGTTGTGTGTTGCAAAACAAAGCACAAAGCCTAGTTGCGGGTCAAAGGGTGGGCTTGCAACTGGGAGAACTACGACCTGAGTTGCAAGTTCAGGATGGACTTACAACTGGAAAACTACAAACTACGAGACCAGTTGCAAGTCAAGGGTTGACTTGCAACTACGATAAAATGAATTATGGTTCCAGTTGCAAATCAAAGATGGACTTACAACTAGGATGAAAGACGAAAACACATGCCTTGTTGCGAGTCAAGCGTGGGCTCTCAACTGGGATAAAATAATATATGTGCCTAATTACGAATTGAGCGTGGACTTGTAACTGGGAGAACAACAAACTATGGGGCCAGTTGCGAGTTGAGGGTGGACCTGCAACTAGGACAAAAAAGGTCGGAGCCCAGTTGCGAGTCAAGGGTGGACTTGCAACTAAATGTCGCGCCCTAGTTGCTGGTCGAGGGTGGACTTGCAACTAAAAGAAGTATATAAAACAATGATACAAGTTGCAAGTTGAGGATAAACTTGCAACTGAGATGAAAAACAAAAGACTTCTCAACTACGAGACAAGGGTGGATTTGCAACTGGGACAACAACAAACTATGTGCCCAGTTACGAGTTGAGGGTGAACTTGCAATTGGGACAAAAAAAGGTCGAAACCCAGTTGTGAGTCAAGGGTGGACTTGCAATTGAGACAAAAAAATGTCGC